AATAATAATAATAATAATAATAATAAGATTTATTAAGCGCACATCTCCACTAAAGGAGAAAAAGAATGTTTATCCAGTCCCAGACCGAGTTACATTTTCTTGCAATTCACATTGGCGGATCTGGGGGAGGGGGGTCATGGGTCCTGACCCTTCCCTTGGGCAACAAAAAAAAAAGGAAAAAAAAAATAGAAGAATTCTAGACCTACATTTTCAGGACCCGTGAGCTGTTTTTTTTTTTGTTTTTTTATGTTACATTAAGAAAATTAGAATTTTGAAGAACATAAAAGTCATTAAAACACACTTCAAATATTGGGAAAGCTCATTCATCTAGGAATAAAAATTTTCCCGGGGGAGAACCCCAGGACCACCCTTTCTTTTTGGGATTTATCGAATCATGGAAAAAAGAATACGCATGTAACTACTCATTTATTTATGTATGTATACACACATAAAATAAAAAATGAGAAAAATTTACCTGACCGTCTTCAAGAGGGGAAAACCTTGAATTTTGAAGAACTTAAAAAGTCATTTAAAAGACGTTTCCGAAGTCAGGAAAGCATATTTCCCGCATTCTATAAATTGAAATTTTCCCGGGGGAACCCGGACCCCCTTTTTTGGGGGTTTCATCGATTCATTGAATCATTTTCAAGAGGGGGGAATCTTGAATTTTGAAGAAATTAAAAGTAATGAAAAGACACTTCAGAAGTCGGGAAAGCCCATTTCCCGCCTTCTAGGAATCAACATTTTTCTGGGGAAACCCGGACACCTTTTTCTTTGGGGTTCATTGATTCATTGACTTATATTCAAGAGGTCGAAAACCTTGAATTTTGAAGAAATTAAAAGTAATTAAAAGACACCTCAGAAGCTCATTTCCCGCCTTCTGGAATCAAAATTTTCCCGGGGGAGAACCTCCGGACCCTCTCCGGACTCCCTTTCTATTTGGGATTTATCGATTTATGAAAAAAAAAATTGTATCCAACTACTCAATATTTTTTATATGTATGTATACACACATAAGGCCTATTTACTGTAATAACAAGTGGAAAAATTTACCTGACCGTTTTCAAGAGAGGAAACCTTGAATTTTGAAGAACTTAAAAGTAATTAAGACACCTCAGAAGTCGGAAAAGCTCATTTCCCGCCATTTAGGAATCAAAATTTTCCTGGGGGAGAACCCCCGAACCCCCTTTTTCTTTGCAGCTCATCGATTCATTGAAAAAAGAATACGTATGCAACTACTAATTTTTTTTTTAAATGTATGTATACACACATAACCGGTCAATTTACTGTAATAAGAATGAGAAAGTTTATCTGATTGTTTTCAAGAGGGGGGGGGGGGGGAACCTTGAATTTTGAAGAACAAAGTCATTAGACATCTAGCTCAAAAGTCGAGAAAGGTCATTTCCCACTATCTAGAAATCAAAATTTTCCAGGGGGAGGACCCCCGGATCCCCTTTTGTTTTTGGGAAAAATGTTTACCCCACCTCCTAGGTTTGATTCCAGATCTGCATGATTCATATTCCTATTTATCTTATAAGTGGCCCCCCCCCACTTTGAAAAACGTTCCGCCGGCCCTGCAGTATATGGAGCATAGACTCTTAGGTACCTTATCTGGCCAAAGATATGCAGGGCCTAGTCCTAGCAATTCTTGAAAACTATTTTGACAATTTTGCCGTGTTTAAGCTCCAACTGATTTATAATATTGTACTGGCTATCCAACTAACATTATTTAACACAGGCCTGATTAAACATCAAACACCTCTCAATCGATATATATCTGTAGAATAGTTGCACTGTGCATGTTTATTTGGCCAATTAAGGTCACTCGAACTTTGACTTACTCTTCAAGAAGTTCCTGTAGTGAAACGATTTCTTCGACTTGTCGAGTGAGTTTCCGGTTCTCTTCTTTCTGTGAGTTGATTATACCTTTTAGACTCGACATGAGATTTTCGTTCTGGATTCGTTCATCTTCTAAACACTTTGTCTGAGGTGAGAGAAAATTAGAAAAATATAATTTCAATACTATATTTCAAGTTGAAAATAATGAAGATATTAAATAAACAATATCATCTCTTGACATCAATGAAGATCGTATCCAGGATCTAAGAAAGATACCACCTCAGCCCCATCATGGTTGGGGCTGAGGTAAGAAAATGTATGATTATGGCACCTCTAGATGGCTGGAAATGGCACTGATGATAACATTCTGAAATGCTTGGCAACAAAGATGCATCCTATCTGTGTTTTTATTAGTATTAGTTCATTGGTATGAAAGTTACATACATTAGATTTCTAATAAGACATCAAGAGTGTTTTGTTGTCTGAACAGTGAAACTGTTGCATTCTTGCAAATCAGTAATTCCTATTTTTCCCCCAACTTTTGAAGGGGGGGGGGGGTGCTCAAGGATTCTAGATATGCCACTGGATCAGTAGTATAAAGGAATTACCTTAACTTGCAATGAATCAAGTTCAGCCATACAGTCAGCATATGTTTTCTTCAATGATTCCAGCTCAGTAGTTTTGGCATTATAAACCTTAAATAAGAGTTAAATGAGAATAGGGCATATTTTGAAGTATTACAATAAAATACTTTAAATAAAGTAAAGAAGATTACTATATTTCTAAAATAGTTTTGAAAAAATATAATAAATCAAATAGTAACAGAACAATACAAAAGACATATCAGAGTTTAAAAAAAACAAAAGTTATGAAAAAAAAAACTATTAAAATAATAAATAAAAAGGTTAAATCATTTTATAGAATAAAAGATTTCTTGAAATTCTCATGGAGAGTAAACAATGAATCCCACAAATTAGAAGTAATGTTGTTGGTCTATGAATGAGATACTTACTTGGATGAACCGATATATATAGTAGATTCCTATAGTAACTTACCAACAAAAAATAATGGAACTGTCTAACTCAGGCTTATCTAATACATCAACATTACGTAACCATTATAAACATTTCCTTGAGATATATCGATTCACCCTCAGTATTCAAAAAACTATATGGGGCTTGCCATGCTAAAACCAGCAGCAGTGACTAATACAAGAAAATTTACTTTTTAATTTATTCTCATTCTCCACATTATAAGCTTTAAAATGATAGTTAATTCATTGGATTCAACTTAATATTGCCAAAGTATTACAGCTTCTCTGTACTAAAATATACAATACTGCTGCATTCTAATACTAATTACTCAGTTTAACATTTAGCGACAATACGCTGGCTTTGAGATGGCATGCCTCGTATTAGCTTTTGCTTTACAATAATAAATACGCTGGAGATTGGTTCCGAAAATAGTTTGTTGATTTCTGTGTTTTGATGAGAAAACTCCAACTGTAATCATCTAGATTGATGATTATTATAATTTGTTGTTTACCTTTAAAACAATATACAGAGAAAGAAATAAACAATGAATATACTGACCTCATCTCTGTCGGTCTGCTCTTGCAAGTGAACCTCAAGCTCAACCTTCTTTTTCTTAAGCTCCACATCTAATGAATTGGATTTCATTTCTTCTGATTCCTGCAAAACATTATGAAACAATATGTCTATTTGCAAGTGCAGGAAAAAACAATTTTCAGTTTAAAAGGGAACTAGGAAGATGGTATTTTTTTCTAAAGGAATTTTTGATAATAAATTTTTTATGTAGTTATTACGACTTACCCCTTTAGCAGCGTGACATCAGTGTAAGGTACTGTAACCAAAAATTGTATATAACGCCGTGCGTGGCGCTATACGATCTTTCGTTACAGTAGCTTACACTGATTTCACGCTGCTAAAGGGGAAAATTAATAATAGCCTACAACACAAAAAATTTCCAAAAAAAAAGAATTTAAAGTTGATTTTATTACTAGTGACCTATCAAAAATCCCCTTTAGAAAAAACAAAATCATCTTTCTAGTTCCCATTTAACATTAATAGCTTTCCAAAATATACAAATTAAGAAATTAAAGTTTCCTGATTGAGCGAAAAAATACTTTTCAAGCATCAAATTTTTCAATTTTTAGTTTACATTTTATCCACCAAATATGCATACTAATAATGATTTTTAGGAAATGAACCTTAAAATTGGCCTAAATCATTAAATTGTGAAAAAATAATTGCCGACCTACTGACACAAATTTCGAAATGTCTCTGTACATGGGCAACACAACATTTTTTTTTTGACTTATTGTTCAAGTGCAGAGAAACAGAAAGAAAAACATTATATAAAGTTAGGGCACTATTGAGGAGGCATTAAGAATGACTTTCAAAATTCCTATTGGAATGTACTTTGGGAGGGGTCGCTGATAACAATACCTGATAAGTTTTAATAATCTGTTGACAGTTCCTTCTTATCTGCTCCGTCTCTTCTTTGGCTTCTGATAATCTCTGTTCTGTCTTTGAAAGTTTAACCTTTGTTTCCTTTTATTAAAGAAAAAATGGATAATAATATAAATTTAAACCTGGTAGAATGTATTTTCGCGATTTCAGGGATGTAGTTATAGTCGGTGGAGGTGGGCAGGGCCAGCCAGCCTTGAAGTTTTCCAACCAGTCTAAAGCTAATTTCATGGACTTGCACCAAACCTTATATTTTGAGTTTTCCTTTCCTCAGCATGCCTCCGCAAAATGATAGTCAAAAGGAGGCGATTTGCTTGAGTATTCTATGGTAGTCTAGCAGGCTACTGTTTTCGCCCACAATGAAGCTGGTGTCAAGCACATAAACACCCCAAACACATTCTCATAGCAGCCTTATGTTTAAGTAAGCAGTAAGTAAATTTACTCATTGATTGTCATTAAGATTTCAATGACAAGCCCTGATCTCTAGGCCTACTTACCTTGTGAGCATCTAACTCGGTCTTTAACTTGTTCTGGGCCCATTTAACTTTGATACCCTGTGAACCAACTTCTTCCTTCAGCTGTTCTACATCTTTTTGCTGGTTAGCTAACTCACTTTCCTAGAATATCATACATATATTCAATCAATAATATCATTATAATATAAAATTGAAAACAGTTACTATAGCCTGGCAATTAAGATGCTCATGCTACTGTTGTTTTTTTATTTGTATATCGGCCAATCCAACCATGTGTTATACTAAGCATGTGTTATTTTGCAGATTAATGCTGACATATATAAATCATCAGGAACAAAAATGTGGAATATAAACAAATTACATTGCTTTTACCTTTGTATCCAACTTTCCCTTTAACTTGGCTCGATCAGCCTTCAACTGCTTTAGTTGTAGTGTAACAGTTTCTAATGTTTTTGCAGTTTCCCTCAATTTCTTTTCCAAACTTTCTCTCACTTTCTGTTGTTCCATCACTTCATTTTCACTCCTGGCATACTTGATCACCATGGTTTCCTTCTCTTTTACTGTTTCTTCACATTTGGTTTTTAACTGCAGAAGTAAAGTAAATCAACTGCCAAATTTGAATGTGTTATTTATTAGCTAGCATCATAAGCAAAGTAATACAATTTAAATGTGGCACGCGTACACTATACCGTCTTTTTTGTTATAAAAAAAAAGATTGCTTCTAGTCTATTTTTGTAGAGGCACCCTAAGACATACTCACGCCCCCCCCCCAGTCGCTGTCTCTTATACACATCTAGATGTGTATAAGAGACAGTCTCTNCCCCCGTACGCACCCAACGCACCACCCTTGGATACGGGCCTGTAGTGCAGTTAAGTACCTTATGTTATCTTTAAGATTTATATTAGTTAATGATAGCCTTCTGATAGTGTTTTTAAATTTGTTTATTTTTGGGTTCTTTCCTACCAAACTTTTGTTGAAACAGGTTTTCCAAGTTAAAATAAAGCTAATTATTATTATTATTATTACTATTATTATTGCAACTATACTTGAATACTTACTTGAGTTATTTGAGACGTCATTTCTTGCTGAAGTTGGAAAATTGTACGTTTTGCGGCGGCATCATGAGACAGTTGCCGTTCTTTGCTCAACTGAAGCTCTTTCTTCTGTTGCTCCACGACTGCATCTAACTGAAAATATTCATTTAAAAAAACATTATTTTACTAAATTTCAAAAATTTCCTGATAATGTGACAAAATTAGCAAGGAAATCAATTTAATTGCCATTTATTTTTCTTTTGCAAACATGAGTGAATTATGACAAAACTATTTTACCTCTTTTATTTGAAGTAAATGGTTTTCTTTTAAAGTCTCCAATTCTGTAATTTGTTGAATAGTACTATTATCATCTCCACCTTGTTTATGATGGGAAGAGGTCTCCTTGCATTCCTGTAATCTAAAAAAACATAGAGAGAAAAGAATAATGTCTCATATTATCAGAAAACAATTCGAGAAAAAGTCCAATTTAATAGATAAGATAAAAATTATAATGGAACAATAATAGTAATATAATTAACATGGGTATTAAAATTTATGTACTAATAATAATTATAACAATATTAAATATAATTTAACAATATCATTATTTTAATAATAATTAAAATAATAATATTATTTATTATAAATACAAATTTGCATTTCTGACCAGCAAACTCAATTAATTAATATACTATATCCTACAGCACTGCCAAAGCCTTGGAATTACACAAGTTAACATTATACCTGTAGTTGCCTACTGGAAAAAATTATTTCTATACAATATCTGGCAAGTTATTTGTTGACAGATGTTAATAATAAAAAAAATTACTATATTATCAAAAAAGAGAGGCTTATGTTTAGGTATCTGACATGACAAAATCATTGTTTTCATTCTTTGGAACTTTAATGAACCGTGACAAACATTTTACAAACTAAACAAGACAATTTCTCAATATTTGTGTGAGTCTCATTAAAATGTCAAGTTAGTTTTAATTTTACTATTTATTACAATATTTTACTTAGGGTTTCAAACAATAATATACCAATTATGTTGATGTGTGAATTTGGCGGAAATCAAATCCACAGGACACAGTGAGGATATATCCAAAGCAGATCTTACATGTTGACAGCTAATTTAACACTTAATGGGAAACACAATGCAAATGCTAAGCTGGATCAATAATCTCTATTCTAGTAGTAATTAACGAAAACTCAACATTCTATTGGGCAATTATTAGCATAATTAGGCCATGTGGTATTTGGAGCCAGGTTTCTGTAGCAGGTATTAGAGCATGTAATGTAATGTACATGGAGTGCTTTATACCGAAGCGCTCAAGGCATGGGCAACCGTAAAACCTCGAATAGAAAGCTCCCTCTTTAGTTTGCAAAAGTAGCTTCGATTTCAAGATAGCATGGGCTTCTTTTCAAGATAGTATGTAAGTACACACATTGTGTACATGAATTTCAAAGAAACAAAATAAAATAAAAACATGCTTGGTTTATACAGTAGTTTCAAGTAATTTAATGCCAGTTAATAATACACTCTATGATAGAGTGTAGTTACAGTGGCCCTACTTACTGTTTTGCAGTATTAATCCCTAAAATTTACAGCATTCATTTTTAAAAGAAGCCCCCTCTTTACTTTGCAAAATTAGCCTCGAAAAGAAGCCCATCCAAAGTTCGCAAAAAAACAAAACAAAACAGAAGAAGCGCAAGGCTTCAATTCGAGGTTTTACGGTATGTCGGTAGCTTGTATAATAAAGTCTTCCCTCTCCCCTAAGGGTCACTTTATGTCAAACAAAGCTAACTAGTAAAAACTAGTGCCAGCAACAGTACTCTTCTCACCCCGGGGGGGGGGGCACACTCTTAAACATTTCTATATGGGGAGGTGCCACATTTACGGGGTATATTTTCAAGGACTTGGTAGCACAAGTGTGGGAAATACGGGGGGAGTTGCAGCATTTATGGGGTATACTTGCGAGGACTTAGTAGCACAAGTGTGGGAAATAACCGGGGTGAAATTGGTAGTTAAAGTCCCTGGCCTATTCTGTGTCAAAGTGCCATGATTTTCCGCACGAGGTTAGCCGGAATTTCAAGCTACACTGTAGACTGGGTGCTAAGCTGGTAAGAGGGTTTGTTTGGACCAGTTATTAGGGTAAATCCCTACTCATTTCTGAAAGTCTGAAAGAAGTACCAAGCTTTTCCAGTGCACATGAGCCATTGTGTACACTGGGTCTACGGTTTGTACAGTAGCCTATATCTGAGAAGACTTGTTCCACCACCATAATGTACCTGCCCACCATAATGTACCCATTACTCAGTAGCCGACCTACAGTATTTGGGACATTCTTACTATCATGAGGGTACAAGGCAGGGAGTTATCTACCACATCTTTATTTATGTGTATTTAGCCTACTACAGCTACCCACACTACAGTACGGTATTTTCAATTTGTATTAATACCGTAAGCATTTTTTATGTATTATAAATTACTGAAGTTATCCATGCTGTGGTCTATACATCTTGACTAAAATGCCATAGCTAACATGAATTATTTTTTGCTAAGCGCCACTTTGGATAAGTATAGTACGGTAGTGCTGATTATAACATTCTATTTTGAATATAGGTTGCAGTGATTAATCATGTTTAAAGTGCTGCAGATTGTCAGTGCTCCTGGGCTTGCTGCAATTCATGGAATTTCTGCAATACATCAATAAGAAAAGTGTTTATAAATTATAAATATTTGATTTTTTTATTTTTACTTTTTTAATTAGGCCAAGTATGAATAATATAATCATATGTAAGAACTATTTGACTGTAATAAGTAAGCTAAGTGCAAAAATGGTATGTGTTTTCCTCCTCAATGTAAAGAAGTGCTAAGCAAGGCTTAGGCTATACAATGTTGTCCATCAAGCACTGCAGTGAACAGTGCTTCTTGTCTGCTCATAACTGTTTAAACTAAGTCTGAAAAAGCTTTTAGGAGTAGACACATGGGAGTATAGTGCCATACAAATAAGTCTGTTGGCCTTTAAAAAAACATAAGACAATACAAAAAAAAAAAAAAAAAAAAATACAAATTTACCAGTACAAGATATGCAAGAATGCAATAATTACATGTCTGTGTTGTTTTTTTTCTCCAAATTTCAATACTGAACAGTAAATCAAGGAAATAATGGTGTCAGTTTTTTGTATGCATTGGTCTCCTTTTGGGTATAGTTTATGTTGATGTTTTAGCATTTAAGTGTATTGTTGTTTTACTGCTTCACTAAAGAAAATGAACAGAGTCAGGTTTTTCCATGTCTCGTGACATGCTCTTGACTAGTGTTACAATAAAACACACAAAAATAAATTCTAATCCATGCCATTGTTTTCATAATCTAACTTATAAGTTGGGATTTTTTTGTTATAAAAAAAGTATTATACAGTAAAAAACAATACTGTAGGCCTACAGTAAATTTATTAAAATTAAAGATTTATTGTCCCATGCAAAATACACCCCCACCCCACAAAAAAAAAATCATGAATATCATTTTTTAAATTAACTTGCTGATTTTTTAAGTAACATAAAAATTATTCAACATAGACAATGGTGTATTTTAAAAATGTTTAGGCCTCTACCCATAAATTTACAGCAAAAAATGATAAACATACTTCCAGACACTAGAAGTATTTTATTATTTTTATTATCACCATCCAGTAAAAAAAAAAATCAGGGTACACATTTTTTAAATTCAATAATTTCTATGCCCAAGTTAATAATTTGTATGTTAACTGCTAAAGGAGCTACAGTTAGTTAATTTCAAAATTATTTTTTTTATGATTTTTTTTTGGTCATTTTCAGGAGAAAATACATACTTTAATACTAGAATCATAAAGTAGATATCACTGTAATAAGGAAAGAAGAGCCTACAGTATGTCTGGTAAATGACTCATCAACGATCTGAATTCTTATCAGATAAATGTTAGATACTGTATCTGATGATATCTTGGAACATATTGCAAAGTAACTTAGTATGCTACAATATTGGCTCCATGTAATATTTATATAAAGTGATTCTTCACACAAATAAATTCAAAATGAAATTATTATTATTGCAATATGCTACTACAATACAACTGTATACAGTATTCTAAAGGTCCACTGAATCTCACATAAGAAAGCATAATACTGTATACTCCACAATGGCGTGCATTTCAATACTTGGAGTATACTGTATTATACTTTCTTGTATATATTCTTCTATTATAATTTTTTTTAAATATAGAAATTATTGATAGAAATTTCTATCAAGCTTAAAAATATGAATAACCTAAACTAGTAACAGTAATCGGAACACTCATAAAAACCAAACACATAATTTAGCCATTGAACATGAATCCAAAAATATTGTTTGTATTTAATTTATATCGGTTGGCATTGGGAAACAATATTAAAAAAAAAAAAAAAAAAAAAGATCTTTGCATGATATAGCCTATAGTAGGCCATAAAGTAAGATACTGCAATTGTAAATACGACTGACTAAAGAACACCCTGGTTAGTAAGTAAACAAATATGGTACATTATTACGAAAGATTAAAGGTCAAACGCATATTTTCTCCTAATCAATGCCAACGTCAAGCATAGCATGTTAATTACGTGAGCTTCATGTAATTGTAAGGTACAAGCTTTCATTAGCATTGCCAATCGTTCTGTTCTGTTGTCTATTTCTACCTGATTAGTACTGCATGCCAGTATATTTACTGATAGTCATCAATTCATATAAAATGTAATTAATTCAGGTCTGATGACTACCTGTATTACCATGTTAAAATATCCAGTGAATAAAACATACAATATTTCTTACTTACAAAATTTCATTATTTAAAAAATTATTGTTTATTTTTCTGATGTGAAGTGCATAGTGTAGAAGCTTTTCTTACATTATATGATTTATACAGGCAATGATTGGTCTGTACTGTATGTTTGACAGACAGTCCGCAAAGGCCCATTTAATCTTATTAACTCAAGAAACAAAAAGAATGTTTCCAAATCTTCTTACCGTTTAATTTCTTCATTCTTCTCCTCGCATGATTTCCTTAATTGTTCAAATTCTACCTTCATTCGCTTCAACTCTGCCATTTCTTGGATGTCAATGGCTTCCTTTCGCAGTCCATTCGGCAAATCTAGTTCACTGGAGTCACTCGAGAGCAAATCCTCAAGTTCAGAGAGCAATGAATCAGCAGCATCATTGTCATTATAGTATTGGGATGGAGATGGAGTAGCATCACTTGAGGTAAGCACCACTTGGTTTTCTGAGGCTTTTATATCCTCCAAGCATCCTTCCTCTGGGAGGGTGATGCTTGTATTGTCTTTTGATATTTCATTTAATTGATTTGTCATTTCACATCTTTTAACATTCATTTCACCTATGCTATCCACATTTTTGTTAGTTCTTTCTGTGATTCCTTCAGTATTTTGTATTTTATTGTTTAATAGATTTGCCTCAGATTCCAAAAACTCTGCACCACTGTCTTTGGGCCTCTCAGAATTGTGTTCAAGATTTTCAGTGGAAGCATCAGAATAAATGATGGGTAATATTCTAGATGAAGTGGATGATGTATCTTCTATACAAGATTCTAAATGAGGTTGTGGGTCAGACGCAAGATCTTCAGGAGAAGAACCATCAGACACCAGCTTATCTACTGCTGGTTCTGACATTTCGGAGGATTTTAGAGAATCTTCAGACAATGTAGATTTTACTGACTCATTCTCAGTAGTAGGTTTAGATTGAATTTCATTTAACTCTTTTTCAAGTGTATCATTATGGTTAAACGCTTCATCATTTTGTGCAATATCCTTGTCATTTACTGAATGAACATCAGCATCACATGTTACTTTTGACCCTGCTTTCAATGATTCGGTAATGGCAGATTCAATATTTGCCGCCTGATCAGAACTCAAATCTTTTTCTTCTGACCCGTTACTATTATTATCCTGACAATCTTCAGCTGAGTCTAAAATTTCAGGTGACACATTTTCCTCATCACTGTCTGGGGTTACTGAGCGGTTTCCATCATCTGCATTACTTGCAGATGGGAAAACATTATCCACCTGAGGCATCGATAAATTCTCCATGCTAACAAATGGTTCCACGTAGTCTTGCGTGCTATCCCACTCCAATTCACTGTTACTGTTTCGTTTTACAGGCTCATCACCGGACGCAGCAGCATCATTACCAATTTCATAGTTACTTTCTGGGATAAGCTGTTCATCGATCGTTAAAGTAGACCTACTTAGTTCATCCTTCAATTCTCCCAACTGTTCCTCCTCTGCCATCTTAATGACACATAGACATTTCCTGAAATTATACAAAAAAATTGAAAGTTGTATAAATTTAAGTGAAGATTATACTTGTTCAACTCAAACTGAGAATATGAATGATTCTAAAGAAGGCAGAATTCAATTATTCGTATGAAGTGAATATTCATAAATTTTACAGAATGAGACCTACAGTAGCTTATGTCGAACATCTTATATGTTTGTCTCGTGAAAGAATTGCCACTTAGGCGAGAATTTTTTTATACCTTGTTTAGCGGAATCTGCCAATTGCATATATTGATGATTTCGAAAAAATATAACATTTTATTTTTTGCCAATTAGCTCATCCGCTGCCATGAAAAAGGGGAAACATCAGAAAAAAATAATCGTTTATCTTTAGTTTTATTACGCCCTCTGCTGCCTTGAAATCTCCAAAGATAAGATATGTATATTTCTTCCTAAAATTATATAAATTTGAAGCATTAACCATCCTATTTTACATTCACCAATAAAATTCTATTTTCATTTTCTCCTCCGTCTTGATGATTTGGCAAAATAAGAAAACAAAATTTTATTTTTATTTTTATTCTGCCCTCCTCCGATAATCTTTAAAAAAATAAGTACGCGAAACAAGGAAGTCTCTAGTAAAGTGATTAAATTCACTATTGGCATATATGAGCCTAAAAATAAAATAACACAAATAATAAAAAATACAGAAAACCATGTCGCACTCAAAGGAGCATACTGTACCACAGAATTCCGCCCATACCATTGCAAATTGGCATTATTTTTTTTTCATTTAGAAATTTAAGGACGTGAATACATCCCCCAACACCCCTTCCCCAAAAAAAGATAAATGATAAAAATCTCACAAATAAAGATAAAACATTTAATTAATTAAACTTACTTTTTTTTACAATCACATACAGTTCCACTCTCAATAAGTCACTGATCAAAACAGTCAGATGTCAATGATTTACAGACATTTTATTAGGAAAATCCTTTGATTTGCTGGCAGAAACACTCAAAGAATAGGCTTCAGTATTTTTAAACGTTGAAAAAATGAATTTTTTTTGGTTCTAATTTTCAAGAAAACTAAATAGGCCATACTAATAATAATTTAAACATACAGAACAATTCAATTTATTTGCTTGAACTTTTCCACTTCAAATTGAGCTGGTTTCTGAGGCACAGTATCATCCATGCAATAAAAATACTTTACACTACAGTATGGGAGCTGGCTTGACCCTAATACCCTATTCAGACTAGCACCACATTGTGATCGGTTGTAACATATGGGACAACCAATTGGAATTCACAATCGTGTGTGAAAGCTCATCAATAGTAGTTAAGTATTGACATCGCAATTGTTACCTGTTGCGATTGCGTACTACAATCTTCATTATTCCTGATTACCAGGGAATTTCAACCAATTGCAACAAATTCCACAGGCACTAATTAGCTGAGGTCGGTCAACATAGGTCTAGCCACCTACAGGAGGCCCCTACAGTAGTACCGTTTAGCATGCCATTTCAATATAAAGTTTTATTTTTGTGTCTGATTTGGTCAGAATGCTCCTGTTGGTTACGATGGGGAGTAATCAGTTTTGGATTACCACCGATTACATCACAACCAATCACAATTGGATTATAGGCCTTCCAAGTCTGAATAGTGTATAACACATTTTAAATATCAGTCTCGCTACCTTAATGGTGCACAATGGCATGTTGGAAGAATATGGTAGCAGGTCAAAACGGCAATAAACCAAAATGGCAATGACAAGTACCAAAACGGCATAAACAAAAATGGCAAAGGAGAGGTTTGCGGGCTGCAGTTTATAATTTTCTGAATCGTTTTGAAATTGTCCTGATAGGGAAATTGTCCCGATAGGCAAATCGAATATTGCCATTGGCTCTTTTTCCCACTTTTAATGTTTATTATTATTATTTTGCATTTTTTACTTTAATGACATACATTGTTTAGCCTCATTTTGTCTGTATTTCAAAGTTTTATTTGTTTAAATGTTTTACTGCTTTTATATTGTTTCCCCCCAATTGTTTTAATATTGAATTTGTATGATTATTATTATTATTATTATTAATTTTTGTTGTTATTGATATTATTGCTGCTGCTGCTATTTAGCCTCACTTTTAATACTGTATAATTAATCGTTGTACACTTTCATGTTTATAATTAGTTTATTTTTTCACAATTTTATTTTTATGGCTTAAATTGTTTAGCATAGTTTTGGTCTTGCCGTTCTGACTTATTGCCGTTTTGGTCAATTATGCCGTTCTGGTCAAAAAGTGTTGCCGTTTTATTTTTTTGCCGTTTTGTCTAGAAACCAAGAATACTGTATCATCCATAGTGTTTTAAAAAAGCCATAGTTTTGATATTTTTGTGTCTTTTATTTTTCAAAGTTGGTATGGTTGCTTTAATATAAAACTAGTAATAGCAGTAATACTTTTCCAGGTTACCAGCTAGGCCTACTGTAGGCTCCAGTCTGGATGTATTTATGCCTTACCGATTTCAGGACTCTCCGAATGATACTGTTTGGCAGGTTCCTATCTATATTTATTGTAATTGAAATGGTGGCCCAGCCAGGCCTAGCCCCTAATCAACAAATGCTACTACTATGACAATGACATTATGTCGCCATACAACCTACTCTCGAAGTTTTAGTCAATCAGCTGGTTGTCACTCTCTCAAGCTCCGTAGTACTATTACTAAGCATTGCATAGCCTTAGTCTAGTTTTGCAGACCTAGGCCTAGTAGGCCTAGCTGGGTAGCTTAGGCTAGGCCCCTTACTAGTCTACCCTAGGCCTAGCTAACTAAACTAAACGGCCTGTGATTTCAATCCCTCTAGAAAGAAAACTAACAAACCTGTTTCCATTTCAGCATCAAGGAAATGCTTTTTAATCCGACATATAGTTTACCTTTTTAACTGTCACATATGTACTATTTAAGGTAAGAAAAGAAATTAGATTGTCAAAAACGAATCCAAGCGTCAATAAAAAGCTCCTACAGGTCTGTTGTTATGCCGGAAGTATTAAACAGAGTATGCAAAAGAGCCACGACTGCATGTAGTCACGTGACTTACAAACAACAAAAAGTGTAAAGTTCAATATGCTCGATTAACCAATGAGAAAGGATGGTAGTTCGGTAAAGAAGAAGAAGAGGAATGAAGACCAGACGCGAGGAGCATATGCACGTGTTTGGTTTGGTCCCCTCGTGTGAGTATTCCCAAAAAAATGTTTGCATTATTCTGTTTGATATATTTATGGATTTATAAAACATTCCATTAAAACTATGTGAAGAATTTAGGCTTATGGACATCCTCTCAAGGATAAAAACATTATTTATACTTTAAAGTATCTGTGATTAATTAATCATTAATTTATCCCTCAATCATGCAGGTAGGCCTAGCCAGCCTGCTCAGCAGTGCTGCCAACCATCATCATCGATCAGCATATCGCCTAGGCTAGGCCTAGCCTAGGTCAATGATGTTACTGTAGTACAGGCCTTGGCAGGCTTCGCAAATTTAGTAACACTGTCATGTCAGCGTTTACCATCTCAGTGACAGTGCCTTTACTACAACAATAAATAAGTACAACAACAAATGGGATGGAGTTAGGCCTAGACCTAGGCCTAGGGCCTGGCCTAACTCATTTGCACAGTTACTTGCCACTCGGTTGAAAGAACTCCCTTCTCCTGCAGTCATGGTCTGTCAATGAATAAAGATTACATTTTTGAGAAGATCATACTGTATTTCCTTGAAAGGCCTAATTAATAAATAATTACTTGTAGGTCGTTGTGGCCCATAGTGTAAAGTTTTTTAATTTTGCGGACAATACCTCAAAAACCAGCTCATATTTGCGCAGTAAAGGCAAAGCGCTAGGAAAATATAGGTTTGCAGATTTGTAAATACTGCATGATACATTGTTTATATAAAGATTAGTTGTGCAGAGGGATTTCTAGGCCAAATTTTTGCACAGAGGAAATATTCCCTGCTCAGTCCTTCTATACAGTCTGGGTACAGAGTTCATACCATCAGACGTTCCATCCCCTGGAACTAAAGATTTTGGAGGTCTCTTTTTATATGATTGGGTATTTGTTTTTGTATTCAATAGTTTTTTGCTACAGTATGGAAATTGCTGAAAAAGACTTATTTTATTCATTCTTTCAGGCTATGTCTTTAGAAGATAATTGTTTTGATTCTCTGCCTCCAAAATCTTCTAATTATCTAGAAAAAATTAGAGAGAGTCCCAACTGGCCAAGCCAAGACAGTCAAGGTAGTGACAGGTAAGAAAAGCTGCACAGGACATAACAAATTCTGCACCTGTATATTATTATTACTAGGCAATCATAAAATATATTTTTTTGTATAATTTATTAACCAAGCAAAATTTGAAGCACTATGTCTGGAAGTGATGTTTTATAGTGGTATTTTTGAGTTAAGGAAACAATTCTTGAACAGTGATGTGCATTTTTTGCAGCTGATCCAGAAGTGCTTATATTTTGGAATGAAAATGATTAGCCAAATTATGTTTTGATTAGCCAAACTGAAGAGTATAGAATTGTAAGAGGTCTGACTCGCTGGGTTTCGTTAGAACGCAATCCTATCTCAAAAGAAGTATTACCACGAACTGGAGAGTGTCTTTCAAAAGAAGGTAAAAGGCATTTGTAAATAGGACTGGTGGTAGTACTTTTTTAAGCATTAAATTGCGTGCTTACAAAATCAGGGTAGTCCGACCTCTTGCAACTCTTCGTCCAAACCAACAACGGAAGAATGTAAATAATCTGAATAGGTTCATGCACTGTTGTACATTCATAATCGTGTGACGCCACTGTACCCACAGTGAGTAAACATGGCCTAGCGTCATCGCTTTAGCAGGCTTTCATGAGCTTTCCGATCCTAGCTAGTCTAGGCCTAGCTTGGCCTTGGTAGGCCCAATTTTGCCTGACTACTTTAGCTGTTTATAATGATCATTACGATTAAAATTTTCACTTACTAATTCTTTACTCAATATCCATGTACATAACACATATTAATGATAGTTAAAAATAAAACCTCTGCACACAAGTATGACTTTATTTCATTGGATGTTTGGCTAATTGCGAGTGAAAATAATTCGCCAAATTCAGTTTTGGTTCCGATTTGGTGACTTGGCGAGCGACAGCTGTAACCTTGTACATAATGTAATGTCCATTTACTTTATATGTACATATTTTGTCAGCAACACATTCCATATTCATTTAGTTTCCCATCTCTCAAGTAAACTACCTTCTGTTAAATTTTTTATTTGTCTGTTACAACCTCCTATCAGAAATTAAAATTCAACTTTTTCACACCTGGATGTTTCAACTTACACTGTGCTGTGATAATTCTGTAGGTGTTGGCTCATTTATGTATTTGTATAAATTTTGTTATTGTTTATAATTATTATTAATATTATTAATTATTGTTATTTATTATTATGCATATTGTTTTTATCTGTTAAATTGTAGTTGTCAGAACCTTATATTAACTGTGCCACAATACACAGGGTATATAGGAATGGAGAAACCAACAACGCTGGTCAATAAAACGTAAGTTTGCGTTGATTTTTAGTAGTTTATTATCTAATCATATTCCTACTAATTAGTAGACGAGATGGAGTAACTAGGTGATTGCCACTGTTTTATTTTTAACCTTCTGATGAATTAGTAGCCTGTTCTGGAAGTGATGTTTTGTAGTAGTGGTATTTTTGAGTTGAGGAAACAAACCTCAAACAGTGATACATATTCTGCTAACTGATCCAGAGCGAAGCCTATTTCTAAAACATGGTGTCCATAAAATCTATACTTCATACGTGTACTGTAACGGAAATTCATTTGAGTATATTCCGTGCCATGGAAAAAATTATTGGCTAAGGTAAATTTATGGATATATTAGACAATGTGGTAAATATGATAAATGACTTCATTTTACCCACAGTATTTATTTCATTTTCATAAATTTATGTGAAATAAAGTTTTCTGAAATTTTGGATGAAGCCACTTCCAGTAAGTTGGGTTAATTGGGCTTTCTTTAACATATCTACAATCCGCCCTCCAATTCGAGACCACTCTGTGTATCTGAAATTTGGGGTGGTCTTGGAGTTTGGTCTCAAATTAGAAACCTCTAAATAGAGACCACAGGCCTCCAAGCAGCATTCCCCTCGGAATTAGAGATGTCTCGAATTGGAGGGCAGACTGTGATTATATTTTACTGTGCGTGGTGTAACCCATCAACACTGATTTCCTGGAGGCAATTTACAATACATGCAAATTTTATGAGTTTGGGAGAGAGGGTTATTTTCTTCGAGATTCTTGCAGGAGTTCAGGAGGGTGTCCCGATTTCCTGGAGACTCCCGCGGCTTGCAAGATGCTTAAGACCCCTGCATTTTTGTGCAGAATGCACCCCCCCAACCCATGGCAATCCTTGATATGGCACTGAATACTGTCAAAGATATCCATTTGTATAGATAAATTGAATCTGTGTATATTGAGTCTTTGATTATAAATGAAGTTTATAATTTTGTGTAATATACAGTCTGTTGTAATGAAACAAAGCTGTGGTTGTTTTTCTCTTAGGCCGGTATCACAATTAGGTAGTTGGAATCCAATGAAAGATGAATTCAATGACGAAAGCTTTAATAGCTATGAGACTGGCCTTTCAGGAAAGTATGGAATTCTCTGAATATTACCATATTTTTCATTAAAAAATTGTATCAAATCCTTTGTCAATTACAGAATTAAAGTATGTAATGCCATTTCGCTCAATAACATTTTAATGCTTTAGGTGTTGAGAAACAAATAGAGAACTTTCAATTATAATTTTTATTGCGTTCCTTCAAATACAGCATGAGCGCCAAGAAGGGTAACCAAGAATTTGAAAGAGGTATCCGACAACAAGGATTTCAGTTTTATGTTTCTGGAATCCCGATGCAGATGACCCAGGTAAGAAGTGTAAAAAACAGCAAAATATATGTAAAATATATAAAGCATTATGAAAAATGTATATAAAATATATATAAAATGTTGTTAATTGGAGGTTTAGACTGACTGTAACAAGGGTTTAGCCAGAAAAATTAAATAGGCCATCCAAAATGGAAGCCAGTCTGCGTGGCACTCAGCCGATGTGGTGGGCCACGCCCATCCTTGGGAATCTAAACCGAATATTTGTACGAAAACCACGTACATTTCAGTCAATAAATGTTGCTTTTATCAAACCAAACGTATATATGATTTAGCTTTAGTTTAATGTAACATTCAATTGATTTGAAGAATATAAAGAATTTGCTAAAGGTAGACCAGGCCCAATAAGGCTACAGGTAGGCCGAGCTGATTAGGCCAAATAGTCTATGCCGTCTCGGTGAAGGTGGCCGTCCTAAATAATTGTAGGCCATCGAAAAGATGGCCGGATGCCTCGCTGGCTTAAGCTGCATTCACACCGAATTCGGTACGTATCGCTAACAAAACAAAAAAAGGATATCGAATCAGCAGTAAAGAATAGAGGCGCGTACTAAGACGGGCATCGAAAACGTTCTACAAACCGAATTCAGATTTGGTGTGAATCTACCTTAAGCCTGTGGACTGTAAATACATAATATGCAAATCTTCTGAATGTAACAAAAAAGAAATAAAAAAGAAATTAGGCAGTCAAAAAAGGATGTGGTATAGATGAGAAACATTTCTTTTTATATCAGCCTAAAGGTCTGTCCACACTATCAGATTTGATGTGACATTTGTGTGATGATGTCATATTATATCCACGTAGAATATGATAGTATGAATAGAGCTTAATATTGCATACTACCAGCCTTGTAGGTTTTCATAATTCTTTATTTAAAATCCAAATATCTGTCAATTTCTCTTCGTCCAGGAGGGACTGAAAAACCTGTTTTCGAGAGCAGGAAAGGTGGTGTCTTGCAAAATCTGTAAATCTGATCGACCAGATTCAGATTCCACGTACGGGTGAGTTGGGTCAATTGTTAATACATCTGTTTGGATTCATTTAATTTTATTTGTTACGTTATGTTTTTCTTTTATCTTTAACATTTTCAATTATGTGCACAAATCTTGTTTCATAGTTTTGTGGGAATGTCGACTGTTAGTGAACTAAGTAAAGCACACACTCTGTTGAATAATTACGAGATTGGAAAGACTACTCTCAGGCTGAGGGTCGCCAAAGGCACAGAGAAGTATCTACAGGTATTCATTAAAATTGTTATTTACATAATATTTAAAGTCAAGACTGATTTGAGTCCATGAAATATGAAGCAAATTTAAACATATTATTTCAATACGACTGGAAAGGGTTAATATAAATAGGTGATGTTATGTTTGAAATTAGTGTAGCTCATAGGTTTCAGGTCTTTGCATTTTATATAGTTATATAAATGAATAAACATAGCTTCAGATATTGAGACTGAAGCAATGATTCTCAATCTTTTATTAATTTAAAGTAGTCTATACAGGTCTCTAATAAAATACCACCTCCAATTAAAGACCGCTTTTATGTGGTCCCATATTACCAAATGTCTTTTTTCTTTATTATTCTAATTAGAGACCAAAGCTGCTAAAGACCATTGAAACTCCGGTCCAAAAAGCGGTCTTTAATTGGATGCAGACCTATAGTTAATTTCAAATAAAGTAAAAAAAAAAATTGTTGTGTTGACCTTAAATGGAAAAAATCGAGATCGAAGGTCGGTTGGTCGGAATTTTTTAAATTTTTCTAATTTTTTAATTTCAATACACACTTGGTTAGTATTTATTCCGTCGCTAAATAAATAAATAAATCAGTTTAAGAAAGATTTATTTGACTTTGAAATGTAAAATAATAATGTATATCCAATCCACACAATCACGCACTCTATCTGGTCATCATTAGGAATGAAGATGACCTGATATACAAAACATTGAATAATATGTGGCAAAGACGAGCCAAACCAGTCACTCGTCGCAAATATTGTTTCAGAGCTAATGGCCAAAACATACTGGAATGCCATTTCTGAAATCTATTTTATGACACTAGACTAACTTTTATATATCTATATATCATGCTATGCTGTTATTTCCTCCATTTTCAATGTTAAAAACAAAGGTTTTTAACAATTAAGTAATGGTTTCTGTCTGAGAAATGCCCAAAATCATTGAAGGCTGATTTCCCAAATATTGTTCTTTAAACAGTTGCACGTTTAAACTCCTGTAACTTCATAATGGAATGTCAGATTTAAATGATTCTTTTACCATTTTAGAGCTCTCATTTTACTATTTAACGTATTAATAACTAAAATTGTTTGTGACGACTGGTTTGGCTTGTCTTTGCCACATATTATAAAAGTGAAATTTCTCCAATATTATCGCCAAATTAATTTTTGGAAGAAATAGTCTGACTTTCATGAGGTAGTGAATATAATATTTTTTCTTAAAAGGAGAAAGATGAACTTCAGGACAACACATTTCACTATAGTGGTGGTGAATCACAGAGCAGCACTCGAAGCCCTCGCACGATGGACAACCGGTATGGCAGCCGAGAGAGATCTTCCAGCGAAGACACTGACCGTCTTGGACTCCCTCAGACTGTAAACAAACATAGTGAAGAAACTGTCACGAAGAAAATATACTCTTTCAAGAGTCTTGATGCCATGCTTATCCAGATTTGTGTCGAGAAAGACCGCCGTGTACCTTTAGTGACTGATAAAACACTTGTCTTGAGAAGTGGTAGTTCACAGCTTCCGTGGATGGTAAATGACGTGAAGATTACCGTTGAGAGCACTGGCCTCTGTCTTGGTGAACTGGAAGCTGAGGATCTGAAGAATGTGTCTGCTCAAATCCAGAGATCAAGACACAGCAGCTCAGAGCAGATGCCAAAAGAAATCCCACCAAACACTAGAGAAACTGATCAGGCAAAAGTTGAGAGTCAAAACCATGGCCAACAGAATGTGATTGCTACTGTAAAAACTGAACAGTCTGAGAAAAAGCCATGTTCACCGTGCCTTAACTGTGGACGTCCAGGTAAACCTTTAAATCTTGTTGAGAAGTTGTTGGTGCAACGGTTAAGGCTCAGATTCTTAACCCTGAGGTAGGGGTTCAAAACCTTTGCTGTGCAAGTCTCTTGTGTCTTTGCATTGGGAACTTTATCTATCTAGTTGCTCAACACCACCAAATAATTTTTTTTTTTTTAAATTTTTTATACATCATCAGGCGCTTTTACAACAATTGTGTTGGGCCTTTTTTGCTGGTAGGGGGACAATTTTGCATTGTTTTTTTTGTTGTTTACTTTGTCTAACTACATTTTCTGTTTGTAGGCATGAACTGTTGCTCAGTGTGCAAGGGCAGCTATTGCTCAAGGGTTTGTCAACAGAAACACTGGCCATCACACAAGCTCCACTGTAAATCCATCATTGCCAGGTCAGAGTTCATAGATGATGTACAGTGTTGATGATAGGGAGCTTTCGATTTGTGCGACGACGTGATGCTAGAACGGATTCACTCGTGTGTGACCGTCTACCATCCTCTACCAAATTACGTCAAAGAATCCATGTGACAATGAAAATTTAACGTTCTTGTATGCGCAAATGACTTAACCCTCTGGATACCGGATTCTTTTGTAGTGCAAACCCATGAATACCGGATTCTTTTGCAGTGCAAGAAGGTTTTTTGCGTTTTTTGAGTATACATCATTCTGGTAGATTTTTGGGAACTTTCTGTAAATTATACAGAAAAATGTTTCTAAAAACAAAGAAAGCTTATAGAATAAGCTTTCATTTGATGTATAATTATATTTTTAGGATTTTTTTTTCATAATATAATATAATATATATAATATAATAGAAATGACAGAAAAATGCTACATATAAATCGTCAGCAAAAACCAAAAAAAAAAAATTAATTATAGCCAAAAAAAAATAAAAACAAATATAAAACATTCCTATTACACACAGTTATATAATTTATTTACCCAACCATCCATAACTATAAGCACGATCTTTCAATTCAAAAGCGTCGACCACCCTCACATTTCTAGGTCTAGTCTCATCTTCATCAAGAACATCTCCGCCGTCAGAACTGCTTGAAGCCCCACCGTCATCATCGCTAACAGGCACGTCTAAGTCTCGCACATCTAAAAACTAACCTTCATCGCTGTCTGAATCAAAAATCAGGTCAATCGCTTCCTCAGCTGTGTACACATCTTGTGCGGCCATTTCGAAAAATTTTTGAAACTAATAACGATTTCAAATTGATATTTCTAACAATTTTTATATAAGTGCATGTGAGTTCTTCACTGATTTCGGAAGAAAAAAGCTTCACGCATGCGTGTTCAAAATTTCTGACGTATTGGAGCTAAAATACAAACCGAAGAGCGATTTGAAAACCACCTATTTTTTAGTCACTAAATTTCGACTGCAGTCGAAAATGGGAATTCTCGGTTTGAGGTCAATTTCGACAGACGAAAGCTCCTAAAATATCAAAAACGTAAACCATGCGCTATACAAGTGTACAGTCATAGACTGTTGAGATTGCTTACCGATTAATGTATATTTAAGCAAGGTACAGTAGTTGAAATATTTTTTAAAAATTGTTGACAGATCCAAAGATTCTGAAGTTGTTCTCGAAACGGACAATTATGTGTATTTGAAAGACATTGTTGTAACTCAACCGGAAAAAAGTGAATTACAGGTAATTTATTATAATTTATTTATTATTTAAACAGGGAAACGTGTCCAGTATAAAGCTACAGTTAACCTATGCAAGTTTTCGTTTTGGGGCTTAGGGATTGAAAGGGAATATTCTAGTTTTGATGACATTCAGGCAAGGGCTGAGGCTAGAGAAAAATGTTGTGCCTCCCACCATGAAATGTTAATATGATGCATCCAGCACCTAATTTTGTCTGAATGCTATATATAGCTCAACAATGGTGGTCTGGAGGGAGACACCTTTTTTTCCCCATTTTCAATTATCCCAGTGAAATGTACAATTCCCCAGTGCATTATAGCCAACAGTGGTTGTATGGGTACATGCAAAGTATGTTTTTAAAACTGATACAGTATTGTGTTCGTTTTTACCCTTCCAGACTCGATACATTCCAGTTGAAGGGGTGTCAAGTTCCCGCAAACGGACAAGAATCTCCCAGAAAATAATCCAGCTCCCACGAATTTATTAAATTTGCATGTTTTTAACTACTGTATTACCCCTTTATTATCATTTTTCTCACAGAAGTCCGTCAAGAAGGCATTCCCATAAGCAGCAAAACAAGTTAGATCTGCTAAGACAGCTTGTTTAAACAACAACTTCTAACTTCCAGCAATTGACACCTTTACTTATTCCTCTTTACACATCTTCTCACCTATTTCCCTAACTACTGCATTTGATGTTGCTCTCATCAAGTGTCAATCTTCAAGACTATTTCTCATTTACTCTATATACTAAATTTTTTATTTCTGAACCATGTGACTGATTTTGTTGCAAGACCTCACATAAGTTCTGTACAATTTCTCATTAGGCTATGACCACACATGTCGTCAGTCCAGATGAGATTTGGGTGCAGTTTAAACAGAGGAGCAGCATAGAACACTTCCCCGCCATCTGTTCCATGACCAGTGACTACGAGATAGAAAACACTTCAGGATATAAAGCAAAGGTAAGGATAATGGCAGTACACACCATTTTTGCTAAAGTTGAAATAAAAATTTTTGAGAACGTGGCAACTACCACTAGGGGACATCCAGAGGCCTACATATTTTTGCTCTACGCAGTTGTTACTGCTCTGTGAACTGCCGTGAGACATTCTTGTTGTAGTGAGTTGGCCTAGGCTTGTCTTTGAAAAAAAAAAAAACTAGCCAAAACAAAAGAAAGGAAAGAAAATAGAGGCACATAAAACCTGCAGTGTTTTTATTTGTAGAAGCACTATAAAGAAGATGCGTGTCTGGAAAAACGAAATTTGGTCAGGTTTGGCTGCCGGATGTCCCCCAGTGAAAAATAGGGAGATGTTGGCGGCGCTGTTTCAAAATGTACCCGATAAAATTGTGTATAGTGTGATCTATGAAGAATGTTTTCCCTCTTCGTTTTTTTGGATCCTATGCATAGCAGCATAAGAAGAACTATAATGGACTTCTTGTATGCAATTGTTTGATTAAACTGAGTTAGCAAGTGAATTCAAATTGTACACATGCCCAGAACAAATTATAGACATACTTTTTTACCATCACAACTAAAAAAAACAAAAACAAAAAACCTCCGAAGGAGTGAAGCTAATATGTTGTTGACGTCGTCGTTGGTAGTAAACAGTTTGTTACCACGATAACTAAAGTTTAAGTCCGATTGGTTTCAAACATGGCAGAATACAAAATGGTAATAAGAAGACGGAGCATATTGTTTTTGTGATATGTGTGAATATGCTAATTTCTCATTTGCATATATTTAATATTTCGCTCATCAGGATATTTACAATAAATACCATCATAACTCCCATAGAAAATTTCCAATTTAATTGAAATTGCAATATGTCAGCCTTTACATTAACAAAAAAAAAAAGTGATTCAAATTGAAGTTGAAATGAAAGTTTCCTTCATATTTTTTTCATTAATGAACTTTAAATAAATATCGGATTTAATGCAATTTGCTTAATTGCTTTTCTGAAAGTGTTTCAAACTTTTCATTTTAATTTCTGGTTTTATTATCAAACTCATTGGAATATAAATTGAATTATGAGAAGGTTTACAAAAAAAAAAACAAAAAAAAAACCCATTAAAATCATACAAAATCCTTAAAAATTCAAGTACCAACAATCATTCAGAAAATGGCCCACTCAAGTTGTCGTCGTGAACGCTGAAACTTATCCACCAACCTTCACGATGTTCATGTATGCTACGTGCTCTACCGTATATCTTGAGCACTGGAACTCATTCACCAACCTTCACAATGTTCATGTATGCTATGTGCTCTACCGTATATCTTGAGCACTGAAACTCATCCACCAACCTTCACGGTGTATGCTATGTGCTCTACCGTATATCTTGAGCACTGGAACTCATCCACCAACCTTCACGATGTTCGTGTATGCCATGTGCTCTACCGTATATCTTGAGCACTGGAACTCATCCACCAACCTCCACGATGTTCGTGTATGCTATGTGCTCTACCATATATCTTGAGCACTGGAACTCATCCACCAACCTTCACGATGTTCGTGTATGCTATGTGCTCTACCGTATATCTTGAGCACTGGAACTCATCCACCAACCTCCACGATGTTCGTGTATGCTATGTGCTCTACCGTATATCTTGAGCACTGGAACTCATCCACCAACCTTCACGATGTTCGTGTATGCTATGTGCTCTACCGTATACCTTGGGAAGTGCACTGTTGCGCGGTGTGTTCAAGAAGTGCAACAGTGCACTTCCCAGTTATACGGTTGTAGTTAGTACTTCGCCGTCAATGCTTCAATATATGTTTTAAGGCATCTACCAGTTAATGATTGATTTAAAGCCGATGATTGCATAGCTAACTATGCCAGCCGTAACCTGTAACGTAGGCCTTGATAGAGACCTTGTGATCAATGATTCACTCACATCAGCATGCAATGGGGTTAGATTGAACGTCCTGACTCGTCTCGTGTACCCAGTCGTTTGTAACCTACTGTTGAACTTGATGTTGCACAGAAAATAAAGCCCAAAGGCGATCAGACTTCTAATTTACTTCAGCCATGTCATTAGTGACTTTTGCAACCCTCTCTTTTTTACATTTTGTATTTTAGGTTAAACCTCTCTAGAGTCTGCCTGAGTAGATAGCGTAGGCTAGGCCTAACTATATTGTTAGGCCTAGGCCCTAGTAAGTAGGCCTAACCATATAGTGTGTGTGTGTAT